CTGGGTATTGCATTCATACACTTTTCCCCATCAAGTGGCTACAGAACATGACTAATAAGCCAATATGGTTAATTAATATGAAAAATGCACAGGCATTAGTTACAACGGATGCATGAAAAATTAAACCAAAATGTAAACTATTTTCCTCTCTTACTCTCATGTATAGCTTACACCCTCCAAATTCAGAATATACAAAAAAAAAAGTTTCATGCAAATAGGGCTAATTGTACATGGGAGTTATCCAAAATCGGCTTTGAAGAATTTTTTCCCCCCCACAGAATATAAAGCAGATGTTCTTATCTCATTTTAAAGCAAATTCAGTTTTGACTGTGTCTACCTGGAACAACGTAACTGACTTCTGGGGGCTCAGTTTGGGTTTACACTGGTGCTGACAGAGACTCATTACACACCTCAATTTTCTGCATACACACTGTATATGTATTTGTAAAGTTACAAGCAAATATTTGTTCAGCAACAGTGTGATTCCAATCCTCTTGGTCTTTAAAGCAACAATCTGACACCACATCTTCTCCCTTGCTAAATGGCAAATATTAAATGCAATCTGGCTCAGCACATACCAGGGAACTCCTTTAAAAGTGTTCTATTTAACTAATTTTAATGCTATTAAAGCTAAATCATTTCAGGATTAGCTTTATTAAAGCAGAAGCTTTATTAAACTGAATAAACCCTTCTACTCCTCAAACATGCTATTAGGATTACTAACAGATTTTCCCAGGAGAAAGCTTTTAGCACAACTTTGTATCATTCCCCCAATGCTTTTTCCTTGGTTTTCCCCAACCTCCCCCTGCTCACCAACGCTGTGATGTTGCACAGCTTTTTTCTGATGCGTTAAAACTTTGTGGCTAAAATAACTTCGGAGATAACAACTTCCCTGGCAATCTGAACAGTTAAACTGATCCATTTTAGCTTTATTTCCAACCCTCTTCTGGTTTGCACCCCAAACTCCTATGGTAGCTGTTGCCCAGATAAAAGGCTGTACATAACTCATGTTTATGAAGATGCAGCGTGAACACAACTGAGCTTTCACTGACTCCCACAGTGACCTAAATCAACTGTGAGAAGGTGTTTCTGTTTCATTCAGTGAAGGTTTAGCTCAATAAACTGTTTTCCTTCTCAGCATTGTTCATTGGGTTTGAACTGCATCGCTGTTAAATGCTCTTTAGCAGTTTAAAGGCTTTAAAGGAAAAGACTTATCAGTCTCTGTTTTTAACAGCACTAAATCTGCATTATTAGTTCATGCAGATAAGGGGATTTGAAAGCTCAGCTTGAAACCTCTCTCTTTCTGTATTTATCTGACACTGCATAGTTCCAGTAGCTCAGCTGGAAATGTAGATCTATGAAGCTTTAAAGAGAGATTAAAGCCAAGAAAAGAAGTACTTTTCCCCCTATAGCTGCTCTCACTTTCCCTTTTCCTGCTGTCTGAGGGAGTGCTGGGGGACAATGGCCAAGGATGGTTCCCAAAGCCCCTGAATGGGGACACTGTTGGTGGCAGCATTCATTCAAAGTAAGCTTCAGTGTATTGTCCTCCCCAATCAGCAGATCAGAATAGAGTGTGCTGGTGGCTGCCAAAAGGTTAGTCCTGCCGATGAAAGGGGCTTCCCATTATTCACTGGCTACAGAACTCCCCCTTTGTGCCCGCCAGCCCCTCGCCGCACTGTGGAGGTCCGGATCTGCGGCTGGCTGCTCCCTCAAAATGAACAATTCATCCACGGCGAGCTGGCTGTGCCACTGTGCAACCCGAAATCCAAGGGCTCCTTTTCTAAGGACAGCCGAGTTGGGGCAGTTTTTGGCAGTGTCACATTTTAATGATACACCATCGTGACATCCCTGACCCACAGCTGACACTAATACTACAGTCTTGTTACCTTACCAGGGCATCGTGGGAGGTCCAAAGCCAAAATTAGCTAATGAAGCACACTGTATGCTGCAAACAAGTGTGCAATAAATAATGCAAAATGTTTGCACAGGTTTCCCTCATGCAAAGCATTAGAAAAGGAAAAGAGACCAATGGAACCAAGCAAAAATGAAAAAAAAACAAAACAAACAAACAAAAAAAACAACCCATATCGCTCTATGCAACAGAATTCAAGAATATGCACCCAGACTCCACTGAGATCCTAATCTTCCTGAGTCCCTGTTCTCTAAATCAGGAATCTTTCATATTTATGCTATCTATGCAAACCTCCCAACTGCCTCCAGCATTTTCAAGTGGTTTGAGCAGGTTTTGCAAGTGCTACAAGAGAAAGGCAATATTGGCTTTTTCCTGTTCACCCCTGGGTCATCCCAAAGGTGACGGTAAATTCCTGTTTAGAGAAATTCCTGCTTAGCCCCCTGCTGGGGGAAAGGCAGTCTCTACTATCCCACCTACCCGCCCTTACAGGACAGAAAATCCCCAGAAAGGCATTTACATGCCACTGCAACATTTCAAATCCTTTTCAGTGAAGAGCTACACAGGGAAAAAATTGGCAACGAGGTATTTCCCAACACATCAACTGCTTTGTTCACGAGTGTCTGTAACTTCCAGGCTGCTGCCAGAGAGAGCCAGAAGAGCAGACAGCTCATGTGGACAGGGATGCCCTATGCCTCTGCCGGGCACAGGGAGGCTGCAGAGGAGCAGCTGCCAGGCAGCAGAGGAGCAGCAGGCTGCTGTGGGCAGTGGATGCCCGTGGGGCCAGGCAGCAGAGCAGCAGATGCCAGGCAGCAGAGGAGCAGCAGGCTGCTGTGGGCAGTGGATGCCCGTGGGGCCAGGCAGCAGAGCAGCAGCAGGCTGCTGTGGGCAGTGGATGCCCGTGGGGCCAGGCAGCAGAGCAGCAGCAGGCTGCTGTGGGCAGTGGCTGCCCATGGGGCCAGGCAGCAGAGGAGCAGCAGGCTGCTGTGGGCAGTGGATGCCCGTGGGGCCAGGCAGCAGAGGAGCAGCAGGCTGCTGTGGGCAGTGGATGCCCGTGGGGCCAGGCAGCAGAGCAGCAGCAGGCTGCTGTGGGCAGTGGCTGCCCATGGGGCCAGGCAGCAGAGGAGCAGCAGGCTGCTGTGGGCAGTGGATGCCCGTGGGGCCAGGCAGCAGAGGAGCAGCAGGCTGCTGTGGGCAGTGGATGCCCGTGGGGCCAGGCAGCAGAGCAGCAGCAGGCTGCTGTGGGCAGTGGCTGCCCATGGGGCCAGGCAGCAGAGGAGCAGCAGGCTGCTGTGGGCAGTGGATGCCCGTGGGGCCAGGCAGCAGAGGAGCAGCAGGCTGCTGTGGGCAGTGGATGCCCGTGGGGCCAGGCAGCAGAGCAGCAGCAGGCTGCTGTGGGCAGTGGCTGCCCATGGGGCCAGGCAGCAGAGGAGCAGCAGGCTGCTGTGGGCAGTGGCTGCCCATGGGGCCAGGCAGCAGAGGAGCAGCAGGCTGCTGTGGGCAGTGGCTGCCCATGGGGCCAGGCAGCAGAGGAGCAGCAGGCTGCTGTGGGCAGTGGCTGCCCGTGGGGCCAGGCAGCAGAGGAGCAGCAGGCTGCTGTGGGCAGTGGCTGCCCATGGGGCCAGGCATGTGCTCCCCTCCCCTCAGCCAGCAAGGGCTGGGCCCTGGCCAGTGGGGTGGCCTCAGCCAAAAGGCTGTATGGGGCAGCAGGACGGGGCTCAGCACACCTGGCTGGGCTGGGACCCCCATTCCTCGCCCTGGTGAAGGGCAGAGGTGACACTGACCAGGTGACACTGGCCAGGGAACAGCAGCAGTGGTCCCAAGCTCATTGGGGGTCCTGGTAAAGAGTCCTCTGAACCCAGCACCCTGGCTCATGGCCAGGGGCTGCTGCGCAGCAGGGCTCAGGGCAGGGGCAGTGCACAAAGTGCTCTGGTTCTGTATTGCTCCCAGGCTCAGCAGTTTGTTTTAAGCTCCCCATTATGCTGTGGACTGCAGTGTGTGCCACGGCTGCTCTGAAGGGACACGTTAAAGCTCTGTTTCTCAGGCAAACATGAAGCTAGCTGGCACCTCCTAAGAGAAACACCTGTTTACTCTGCCAACACACCAATGCCCACACAGAAACATTATTTTCTTACTCAAGAGAAAGCTGTCTTCTTCCTGACTTTAAAATTAGAGCAGCTGCAAATTTCTGGGCATTTGTGGACTCCTCTGTATTGTACCACTTATCAGATGAGCCAGCTCTGTAACAGCACTGGAACCCACACAGCTGCTAACACCAGCAGTGACTGTACACAAATGCTGTGCTGCTGCAGAGATGAGCTGCCTGCTGCACCCAGCTGGCGTGGGCATTAAAGCACACCAGCTCTGCGTGGAGGGACTCACAAGGAGAGGCTGAAAGACCTGGGTTTGTTCAGGTTGCAGAAAAGTTGTCAACATGAGGACTCTCTTGCTGGCTTTGCCTGTTCGGTAGTTACAGAGAGGAAAAGGCCAGACTTTGCTCAGCAATGCATGCAAAAAGATGCAGGTGATGGACACAAACCGCTCTGAGGAAAATTCTGGCTGGATAATAGGGACAGAAAGTTTCACAGTGAGGGTAGTCAAACACAGCAATGTGTGGCCCAGAGGAGCTACAAACCACCATGCTGGAGCTGCTCAAAGCTCAGCTGGATAAGCTGTTGAAGCCAGCCCTGCTCTGAACAGGGGGATGAATAAGGGACTTCCAGAGGTTGCTTCCAACTGGAATTATTCTGTTATTCTGTAACTGAAGATGCACCTGAATGCACTTCATTAGAGCTCACATAGTCTAAAAATAAGCTAATCTACCTAACATATTTAGAAAATAAGTGTGGTTCCTACTCTGCAATTCTGGTGACTTCAGAGTGGTTCCCTGAGATCAGTTATTTGGCTTTAAAGAATAAGTGTCATGAAGTGATCTGTAACCAGCACTGTCTAGAAAACTCTGGCAAGCAGTAACCACTTTCAGGTGACAGAATAAAACCCTCTGCATTTCTGAGTGTGCCATTTGAAACATCCTTCATTCGCTGCTTATCAACACAGAGATTGAAAGAGGCCAGGAAAGGCTAATACATACCTATCAAGTACATAGCCAAGAGCCTTATGCCGTATTCCTGAGTAAACCGATGGGCTTGTTTCCCAAGCAATTAAATTGGAAGCATCATGGAAAAGATGAATGTTTACCAAGTCAAAGGCACTATGACAAAAAAAGGAAAAAAATAAAATGATTCAGGATAAAAGAAAAAAAAAAACATTTGTTGCATCAACAAAGCATTCAACACAGCACTTACTGTATCCACTCTTATGTTACCTTAATATTTACTCACAAGAACTGTGCAGATTAAGCTATCATAATCAGAAAATTGTCAGACTGCCATCAAGCTTACAGCCATCCACAGGTAAGACTCCAACAAGTCTTTTGCATAAAGGATGTATAGCATGAAAATGAAAAGCTATTTTCTAGTTACAATTCCAGAAATCAGGCAGTACCCTTTCACTAAAATATTTTTAAAACAAAATTAAATGTGTAAACAAACAACTTCCAGTTTCAAAGCTGCAGCTAAGTATCAAGTAGAACTGTGGCTTTGCAATAAACAACACGAAAATCTACTGAGAGGAGAACATTACTGACATTAAAGACTAAATCAGAACACTGTGACTCCTTATCTGTCCCTGTGCGGAGAATGCTGAGACAGCAGCAGTCAATACACCACTTCCAGCTGGGAAGAGGACACCTGCTGCTTCTCTCGCTCCATGCCTGTGAGGCCACAGGACACAGATCTGCCCAGGGCAGAGGAGCCCCCTGAGCCTGCCTGCAGCCTGCCAGCGAGTGCACGGACAGGCTCTGGCTGAGACAGACACAAAGCAGAAACCCCAGACCATGGCAGAGCTGGGAATGGACCTGGACACAGCAATATGGCAGCGAGAACAGTGACAGCACGGTCAGACACACGGGCCACACAGCACAAAGGGCTCTGCCAGAGATCCTGGTGAAAATCTCTGGCTCCAGGGAGCAGCACATCCTGTCCAGTGAACCCACACTGATGGAGAGCAGTCCCACTAACCTTCTTATAAAGAGATAATGATCACAGAACTACAAAACATGACAGCTTGAGACATCCAGTCCTGTCTGTCTGAAGGACAAACAGAAAGAATCCCTGTAGGACAGGGAGGGTTCCACGTCACCAGCTCACCCAATGTGTAAAGCTATCTATAACCCACTCCAAGTGCCTAAAACATACTTGCTATTAAAATTTACTGATAATGGACTTTCCACCTGTGAGTTCCTTGTCCTTAAACTCAGATTTTCATCACATTACCTATTTTCCTGCAAACTAAACTGATTTCTGCCCCTTCTGCAGGGCTGACAGCAGCCCAGTTTCTCACCCCCCAGCCAAACCCTTCCACCACTCCTGACTCCTCTTTTCAGCGTACCTAGAGCACAGCACTCAAAGCCAAACAGAACACTCTATCACAGGCCTTGGCAGCACTCAAATAATTACTGTGCCTTCTCCCTTCGTGTCCTTCACAGCATCTACCTATTAACACATCTCAGTAAGATAATAATGATCCATATTCAATTCCTTCTCCCTTGATCCTTTTCTACAGCAGGGGTAATGAGTCAGTTATTCCCAAAATAGTACTGGTGCTTTAAAATTCTCCTCTTGAAGTGCAACGCTCTGCATTTCCCTGACTGTCATCTTCCAATACTACTTCCTCGAGAATATCAAAATTATTCTGGTTGCTGATTCTGACCACTGATACACTTGCAAACATTCCCAAGCCTGGTGCCCTACCTAAATTCTCTACTCCATTCTCCCTAGCAAATATGAACTCCATATGTAAACTAAATTTAAGATTGTAATGCATTCAGTGCACTATCTTGCACCTCCTAAAACACTGAGAACTTTTGGAATAGAAACAAACACCTTCACCTTACAGTCAAGATACTTAAAAAAACCCACAAAATGAGAGTGTATGAATTATGCAGTTGTCTTTCATTTTTGCATAATGTGAAAACTCTTGAGTGCTCCAGGATTCTTTAGTTCTTTGTCCACACTAAAGGTAAGTTAATGAAGAATAATGGATTTGAAATATCCGGATTCACAGAGAAATTCAACTGGGGCAGACCACTGATCACAGAGGAAGAAAAAGGACGGTTCTCTGAAGTCTGTTAAGGTCACTTTTCTGGTTTTTTGGGAGCCTCTTTTTTTTGGCATGAGATACATTCTGTAACAATATGTTCCTAGGTAAGGAACATGAATAGTTCCCTTCAAGGACTCACACAGACGTATTAGCAACAAGGGCCTGGGCTCTATTTTTATTGACCTATTAGAATGTAAAAATGCATTGATCAAAAGTCATGATTTATAGAATTTTGATTCTATAAATCTACATGATTTATAGAACTGGTTTTCATGATTATGGGCAGAACTCTGTTCATATGCAGAGACTGGGTGCAAACATTCATCACACCCTGAAAAGTCATGTTATGCACTCAGACCTCCTTAGGTGTATTTTATACACCTTCATTTCCCATAGCATTTCACTTTCATTCTTCAGAAATTGTACATAGTAACTCGCCCCTTCAATTTCCCATTAGAAACATCAGAGACCTTGCTAGATCATGTGGATCATACTTGCAAGTTTCTCCAGAGAGAACTACCACCATGGCTCAGCTCATTACAGACTAGGAGAAGCTGTGAGCCTCCTGATCCTCACTGCCCAGCACACCCTTGACAGACACTCGCCCAAACATCCCCTACAGCCAAGGGCTGTCCTTTTTTAATACCCCCCACAAGAAAACATTACATTTAAATCTGTCTCTGAAGAACCACTTTTTCTTGGAAAGGCCTAAAAATAAATTAATGTTGTTTTTTTCAGCAGAGAGGAAATCCCAGAGGACAGAAGAGAGAGACCTAGGGAAGTGATGATTCAAGAGCTAAATCCAGATTAGAATTTGATGTCAACACCCACTTCTGCAATTATCTAGTGCTGGAATCACATCCCATGCATAAATACCTGGAAAAATTAACATTAACCTACATTATCATACAATTGCCTGCCCAATTTGTGGCTCAGAAGTCCATAAAGGGAATAAACCTCGAACCTTTTCTGTTTTCACAGACTGCCTAATTAAATAAACATGCTTATGCCAACAAAGCCAGAACACTGTTCAGTACTCACAAGTCAGCTTATGTGAACATTCATGAGATTTCTAAATCAAGCTTTCAATTGTAAGGCATGAAACAGCCACATGAGGAAGGGAAAAGTGTTGAATGTTCATGTACATGTACCTGACTATAATAGAAATAAGGAGTAAAGACCAAAGCTGTGACTACATGGTGAAAAAGCAAGGTCAGATTTCCAGGTAGGCTTAGAGAAATCTGAAGGAGCGCCCACAGAACAAGCTCTTTTTGCAGAAGCCAGAGTGAGGGCTGACCCAGTGAGATGCTGCAGGCCCCAGCAGCAGCAGGGGAAGGTGCCAGCTCCAGCTGTGCCTGACCCCGTGCCCTGCCCACGGGCACCAGCTGCCCCGAGCCAGAGCCTCTGCCTGCACGGGGCCACACCAGCCTCTGCTTACGCACCACCACAATCCACTGAGCACTGCTCACCAGACAAGAAAGCAGTGTGGAACCTACCTGCCCTACGAACAGGCCAATCTACACATGAACTCACCTTCTTGAAATAGCTGTTAACAAACGTACAAAAAACAACTATCAGAAATAGAATCAGAAACAACATTAAGATGCAACTTACCAATCAGTAATACACCACCTTGTTCGAATGAAACCTTTTCTGGACCACTTGCACTGAAAAATAAGTGAATATGAACCAATTACCTTAGGTAAAGAATATTGTGAAAGTGAAATGCACTCACACAAAGAACAAAATGAAGCAGAGCTCATCCATACATTATAACCAAGCAGCATTGAACACAAACTGAGGTACCTTTAAAACAGATATTGTGTCTTTTATACATCCTGGAATTAATGATATTTTTGATCCCGCAGCAGTTACAAACTTATGTGTAAAATTAATAAAAGTCCTGGCAGTTGTTTCCAGATGAAAGATTACCAAATAGGAAAGCTTTCCAGCTATATTTATGCTTAGCTTAAACCAGCAAATTATTATTGCCTATGCACAAATGTTTTCTTTGTAATTTTACCTGAACTGTAAAATGACATCAGAGATTTACATCAAATTAAAATGAATGAGATCTGCTAGAAAGCTATTTCTCTTGTTGAGCCAAGCCACCAATATTTGTATAAAAGTTAAGAATTTAAACAGTGGTAAAAGATTCCGTTCATCAGAACCGCACCATCGGCGAGAGAGCCACAGTTCAGCTCGGGCCCATACCTGTCACTCACATACAAGAAGGGCATTTCCAGCACCACTTCCAAGCCCCTGCCACAATCTACAACCTCCCATAAAAAGACATGTTTCTGCATCCTATTTATTCCTTGTTAACAATGCAGGTGTGTCTGGGCTGGTGTGCTCTGGGAATGGATATTGCAGGGCACAGGCCTAAATAACTGTGCCAGTGATATTGTAGCAAAAGACTGACTCCTTACTGTGAATAAACTGCCAGCCCAGCAGAGCACCCCCAGCCAGAGGTACCACTCCCCCAGCCCTCTCCTGAGGCAGTGGCCAGGTGTATTCATTCTCCTCTCTAAAAACAGACAGTCCTCAGTCCTGAACACTGCTGAGATAGTGAAGGGCCTCAACAAACCAAACCAGGCCGACTAGAATGAATCACAGGATCACAGACTGGCTTGGGCTGGAAGGGACCTGCACCTTTTCCAGCTTCCCTGCCGTGGTCAGGGACACCTTCCAGTAGACAATACCTTTTCCAGCTTCCCTGCCATGGTCAGGGACACCTTCCAGTAGACAACGTTGCTCCAAGCCCTGTCCAACCTAGTGTGCATCTTCTGATCACCCCTCAGTGAAAAGGGACCCATCTCCCTCCCCTTCTCCTTAGGCACAAGCACAGTGACTGCAGCCAAGACCAACCAGAAACAACACCATAATAATTATATTTCAAATAATAATCTACTTTATTGCAAGATTTTTTTAACAGTGAAAAATTATCCTCTTCTGCAGGTCCAGCAACCACTCAGGGGATGGCTGGCTGGAAAACAAACACTCTAATCCTTCCTAACAGGACCCACAGCTGCATCACAAATCCCAGAATCCAGTAAGGTCCCTTCTGCGATGCTCATGAGGGCACAGTTACAAGTAGAGATGTCAACACTTATTCAAAAGGAAACCAATGAAAAAAAATTAAATGCTAAAAGCATTCAAATTGGCTCAAATTTAATCTTGATTTTAAAAGGGAGCTTTGTCATTTCCGTCTTAAAAAAAACTACACAGAACTTAAAATCAAGTAGTCCAAGCCTATGATGTGGGCCAAGATAATGTTTTCAATCAGGCTGCCATTTCTCATTTGCTATTTTCCTCTCTGGCAAAAAGGCAAAGATACTTCAAAGGATGCAACTCCAAAACAGGCCCAACCAGATCATCTTGCTTGCAGTCCTACTCAGCTGGGTTTTGAGCATCTCCAAGAACAGCCATTCCACAACCTGTCTGGGCCCATCTCCTGCTGTTTAATCGCACGGTGAAAGCTTTTTCCAGATTAAATCAGATTTTCCCTTGCTGCAACTGCTGCCCCTCGCCCTGCTCCTGCACAGCCCCAGGGGCAGCTGTGCTCTGAGCCTGTCCCTCCCTCTCCTGGGGCACAGACTGGCTCTCTGCTGTGTCCTGCCACAGCTCTGCTCCAGCCCCACAACTGGAGCTCTGACACCTCGCTATCAGAAGTCCTCACCCCAAAAAAAACCAGTTTTTAAAATCACCAATTTTAAACTGGTAGTTACGTTCTGCCAGCTTTTCCTTTGTGAATAGAGTCCCTGAGGAGATTGTGCTGACCTTTTAAAACCCCCCAGAACCACCACCTACATAAATAACCCCTGCTACATCAGGGGAAAGGACCTCCAGGCAGCATTAACATGAAGAGAGAGGTTAGAGAGGGCTAATGTCAAAAAGCACTGTGAGCAATAAGTAATGCACACAAACCATGATTGATAATGACCAGCACAGAGCCTTAATTCATCTTTTCTCCATCATTTTACTGAGGGGGACCATATCAAATTAAATAGTGACCCAGAAAGGGTTTATTCAACCATACAAAGCAGGGCATGAAGGAAAGACATATTAAAGTGGTGATGACTGCAGTGTAATTGCAGCTCCTTAAAGGAACACCACAGCTCAGAGGGAAACCTGAAACAGGAATTAGCCAAATGCTGGCAGCAAGAGCAACCAAGGTACTGAGCAATACCCAGCACTGACAAGGCTTCCCTGCCCTGGTGAGAGCTCCTCCTTCTCAGAGCCTGACACAGGAGCCCACGTCCCCCGTGCTCACAGCACAGGAAACGGAGCTGTATCATGGCAACTTGCCATGAAAAACATGTAGAATGTAGTTCCTACCTCAAAATACTTCCTTTCTTCCCTTAGACCAGTTGCTTCAGTAACTGCTTGAAGTCAGCAGTTCCGTAATGCTCCAGACTAAGCAGTTGCCAAAAAGCAACAAGTGGTGGACAGAGCCACGAGGGTTTGGGCCTTTTACCTGGCCCAGAGAGAAGCCAGGAGACCAGGGAGGAGCTTAAGCTCACACAGCTGAGGTACAGGTCACACAGCTGAGGCTGAATAAAGCAGAGACACCTGTGCCTCTGTACTGTAAAACAACATTTGTTCCATTGTGCAACTGGTATATACCCCAACCTGCAAACTACCTTTAGCTACTCGTAACTTGAACACACTAAATAATTCACTTATCAATAACTTGTCTATTTAACATTAGCAGGCTTCAGGCCTCCTAATGCAGCCCAGGAGCTGGAGCTCAACAGCTCTGATATGAAGAGTCATCCTCAGCCTGGGGTACACACTGCAGCTGAACAACATGCCTCACGTACTTTTGGATCATGCATGTGCTTTAGTATTTCTAAATGAAGTATTTGGAATGCAGAAAGTTTTGGAAACAGAATGTAAAGAAGAGTTATAGCTTGGGAAGGAGGAAAGAGAAATTTGCTTTTTATTGCAGATTTCAAAGCAACAATCTTTATTTTTCCTTTAACAAATAGTCACTAGCTGCTACACCATCTGTAAGCCAGCATAAAACCAGGTGGAGACGACATAGGTCATCTTATGCTCTCAGAGAGTGATCTACATTTTAAAATAGGGAAAAAAAATCCTACTTCATGTCCCAGAAAGGGGATACCACATCTTTCACCTTATATTATTAAGTCTCTTCTCAGATCCTCTGTTAATAGGATTCCTTTAGCCAGCAGATGGATTGTGAATACAGGCAGTTTCATCTACTAAAAGACAACATAAATCATAATTGAGAAAGGAGAGACCGCAGTAAGGTTATCACCATACAGCCTCCTCCATGAAAGGTTTGCATTAAAGCATTAGTGAAATTAATTCATCTTTCATAAGAGCTTTGAGCAGTATCTGTGATCTATGATAACAACCAATTTCTCACTATGAGAAAAAAAAATTACTCAAGCCTGATAGACTACACAAATCTGCTTTTTTTAAAATGGCCTAACATTATCTAGAGTGTTGCTCCCAGAGGCATCATTTGAGGTTTATGCCTTGCCAAGAGGACCCATAAATCAAAGCAGAAAGTTTTGTTAGTTTTATATGCAGTGGGCTGTAATTATTTTGAATTGCATTATGCCTCAATCACTGTAATTACTTTTAGATCATCCTTAAACAGCTGCAATAAAAAGAAATCAGTCTTAAACCATTTCTCACACAAAAAATTGCAGATGTGATATGAAAGGTCTGGCTAAAACACAGAAGAGCATATCAATGCAATGTTTGGGCAAATATGCTGCTCATGCCTTCTCTGCTGGGTAAATCCAAATTTCCAAAATACACATTATTTTGTGGCCTTTTAATTGCTATTGCTATTACTAATATTTGTCTAGAGAGAAAACATGTGATAGCAATATTAATTTTAGCTTTACATACAGAAACATGCATATGAGAACCAAAACTATCTCCCTGTTGTTTTTTGCTCTTGCTGCGTCTGTGTGTTTGAGACACTTTTTGGTCTCCAGTTCCAAAGAAAACCAGCATGGTCTAAAACTCATTGCAATGATTTTCTAACTTTTCAAGTCACACGGAAACAGAGTGGGCTGGCACAAGGCAGGGTGCAGGCCCGGCGAGCTCACAAGGTGCAGAGCTGCAGTGCGAGTGCTCTGCTACTCACGTCACTGCAGAGCTGCAGAGCCCGGGTCCCTTCCCTCTCCTTCTGTGCAGAGCTCTGCAACAGCATGGCCCCAGCCTGTTCCATGGCTCTGGCTGCAACAGCATTCCCAGGAATTGTGCTGGGGGCAGGAACAGAACTGAACTTTCAAGGTGCTTTGGAGATTTGTTCATTACTTAATTGCATACATTTGCAGATTTTCTCTTTTCCTGTCTGTTCCTCCTCCAGGTAAGTGCTATCCCTGACAACCAAAACACAGAGGTTTTTGCTTAGAACAGTTGTTTAAGGCACTGGAACCAATGGGAGCAGCATGAGGGTGTCACAGCCTCCAAAGGCTGCTCCTCGGGTTCCAGTCCCCACAGTCCCCATGGTCCCAGCCCAAAAGCAGCACAGGAGGGTGTATTGAGGAGGAGCTGCAGCTGCTAATGAAGCGGGAACACCGGATCCCTGAGCACCATTCCTGCTCCACAAAACCGTGTGGCAGAGCCCCAAGACTCAACCACTGCTCCAAGCGACCGTGAAGAACTGTGATGCAAGAGGGGTAATAAACAATGCTGAGCAAGTCACAGCTTGGCCACTCTCACAATGAAGCAACAGCAGTGCAGTAAATAAAGGAGGAAACAGTTGTCCCTGGGTATCAGTGGGCAATGCACAGCCTGTCCTGGTGCTGTGAGGCACGCTGGCAGCGCTCACGCTGCTGCGCAGAGCTCTCAGCCAGGCACAGCACTGCAGGCACTGCCACAGCAAACAAACACCTGAGGAATGGCTCCAGCTCCCTCAAAGTGATCTAACACTTGGCTTCAAAGTATTTGACATGTTTATTCATAGGAAGTGAATGCTTTGCAAAATTATGTCAAAGGAACTTTTCCTTCCAGTACTGAGATATAAAAATAAATCATTTAGTATCAAAGTCAAGAAAAAGAACAACCTTCACCTTATCAATCCCATAACTATTTATGCAATGCTCTGCCAAGCACACAAACACTATGTAAATATCTCTGTGTATATTGACAAATTCTAAATTAATTTTAGGAGTTTATTTAGTTCTTCCTTTTATTGAAGTAGTGACATGCCTGTTTGATCCACAAATGTTACAGAAGTTCAACAAATTTATTCACTTGGTTTAAGGAGAACATTAACCATTAAACACCCATTTTCTAGATGTTCTTAAGAAATTAAAATTGAGAAAATTAAAGGAAACATCAAAGAAGAGAGAGTCTGCACTTTCAGGTGCAGTGCAAGCAAGCCCTCAGTTCTGCTTGTGTTTCTGGTTTTGACAAGACCAGCAATCTCAAACCCCCAGCACCGCCCAGTTCTTCTGAGAACGGTGCAGAAGGGAGTGTGAGGGCAGCCTTGGGGGACAGTGTCAGTGTGTGTTTGGGTCGGGTGTCCCTGGCAGTAGGGTGAGCTCCCTGTCCCAGCTGGGCTGGCAGAATCCAGCGGCACAGAGCTCCCAGACAGCCCTGCCATGGCACACTGCCACACTGCCTGGGCTTTTCAAGCACAAATCAGTCTTTTCTTCACTGTCCTCACCCTCCACAAGGATTTCTTACTGGATTTTGGTACATCACACCATGACTCAAAACATGTACTACAGGCGTCAAGAAACAGACAGACAAAATTCCAAGATTCCATTCTGGCCTTATCACTGAGAGAAGCTGCTCAAGAGTAGTCAGAGGAAATCAGAATCAAACCTAGTATTTGGAAATGCTTCCCAGTTCTGTACATACCTCAGGGAAATAATCCTGTGGAAACTTCTCTTTTTCCAGCATGGGTGTGCTTTCTAAAGTGTCAGAGTAGATTTCTTTCCCAGTAACCTTTTTATACTTCTTAGCTAGGAAGAGAGATAAACCAAAATTAACACACATAACTTCAACATTACAAGCATCTTCTCACACTTATTGGCAAAGCATCAACAAAACAGCTGTTAAATCAACAGGATCTTACCAAAAACGTGCAAGCACTGAACTGTTCTGGGGGAAAACAAACACCCCTGTTTATATCAGACACCTTGAAATTACACAGTTATATTGTCATTTCTACACCAGAGCCCTGTGAAGTGTTGAAGCTCTAATTGTGAGTCTGGTGTCTGTACACCCTTGCACTCAAATCCCACCTCAGCTGCCCTGAGACCCTGCAGCCCCCAGGCTCCTTCAGATCAACCCTTTCCAGCCATCAGCACATGAGGCATGGATTTTTACAGCTGGAATGGGTGTAGGACTAGTACAAGAGACTCAGTGGTGATGCACATCACTTTCCAAAGTCTCTAATGAACAATTTAATCACAGACAGAAACAGCAGAGACTCCTACGGATCTACTCAGCTCATGAATGAGAGGCTCTCCTTCTTGATCCACTTTATACTTGGGTTTCTCACCTGGTGAGAACAATGTACTGGCATATCTAAGGTGAGAACCTGACTTAGTTTAACTCCTCTGACACAGGAGCTCAGGCAGCTGATGTACAGCTGCCATTATGCTGGACCTACTCAACTGGATCCAGTTTCAGCTGGGAATGTATAAGAGAAAAACTCCAAGTATTATCCAGACTGCTAAACTGTTCAGTCCTACTCAATATCTGAGGTAGCATTTACTGTAATGCAGCCTATGTGAAGCATTTACTGTAATGCAGTCTTCAGGGAAAAAGAAAATGTAAATCTTCATGCGCCAACCCCTCTGAGGCCTGGCTCCCACAGGACAACTGAACACATATCCTGATAAACTCATCTGGCATCATTCCAAGCAGATTGTGGATGGATGTGCCTCTTTCAGCAAGTTTAAGTGTCAGCAAAGAGATCCTGATGCCTTTTGAGTTACAGAAAAGACCTGGCAGAGCTGTGAGGACTGAAGGCATCTGTGGGAGAGCTCCATGGACAGGCAGCAGCTGGTACAGGAGACACCCCTCTCTCCACCCCGACAGCACTGAGAGCCAGAGGCTCGCTGTGACAGGGCTGCAGAGCACCCAGGGGCAACACAGCCCCACTCCACTGCTGACTTCAGCCCCGAGAACAAGACCCGTTCTGGAAATACAAGTGGTCTGCTGGAACTGGCCAAACCCCCTCTCTTAGAGGACATCCCCTCAGAACACACAGCTTGGCACTAGCTTGAATTGTAAGCAAACTTTTGGGCCTCTGACCACTGTGAAAACAGTTCAACAGATCTACACTATAGCATATAATATGTGAGGCTGCAGGAGAAAACTGTTCCTTTTTCAAAATGGCTATATATCTTCCTGAGATCTGAAAAACAGCGACAATCTTTTTTTTTCCAGTCTGTATTCAGTCACATCCAACTGTGCAGTGAATTTTGAAAAGCAACAGTGATGTTCCAGGAATACTGAATTGTGTATAAACATCTATTTTTTGCACGCTTTTGAGTAGAACCAGAATTTCACAATGATTTTTGTGCAGAGAATGTTTGTATCCATTTGGATTTTTCTTCTGATTTAAGAGCTTAATACACTGTGAAAACGTCAATAGTCATGAGAGAAGAGGCAAGTTTTACATTTCCCCTGAAAGATGGGAGCCTTTGGGGTCATATTTTACAAACCCTATGCTGGGAGATGGATTCTGCTCTGACAAGAACAGTGTGTGACTCACAACACCCATTCACCAATTTCCTTGATTTTTATTAAGAGTTTTTTCCTTCTAAATGATGTTTGCGCCAAACCCATCTTTATGAGCATGGTTCACATTGGCAAGTTGGCTCTGCTAAGGTTTTGCCAAGCAAAACAAAGCAGCAGCCATTTAAAGCAGTTATTTTCTGAAACAAGCATCTGTTTATTGCTTTTCTATGAATTGTTTTCTCTACACTTTTTTCTTCAATTTTCTTATTTTTTAAAACTTCTTACACTTTCTTTAAAAACTGTACAGTAGCAAATAAGCTGCCAACAAAGGACTAATGAATCCAGAAAGCTGCTCTTTTCCTAAAGCAGCTGTCATTTCCCTGTCAGGAGCAGGACACCTCCCGTCTGTGACCATTGGGAGGGACCCTCAGGAGGAGTGAAGGTAAAACTGCTTTTGGGGTGAAACTGCTGCTGCTCCTCTGGTACTGGTGGGATGGAGCTGAGGGCCCGGGTGTGCTGAGACAGCTCCCAGATCATGGGCACACAAAGCCGTTTGCATGGCAGAGTGAACAAACAGCCACACAGAGGAGAGCAAGCTGTCCCACCCGGCCTCCCCACCATGTGCACACCTCATTCCTGAGCACCTGCAGGACTGCTCTTCTCAGGGACAGAGCCCAGCTACGAGCTCTCAGGAGTGCCAGCTCTGCTGTGGAGGGTTCCCATATGGTTTGTCAGAAATAAAATCACTCTGTGATATTACAGCAAAAACGTTCCTTCAGCACTGAAACCAATGGTAACAGGAGGACTTATGTAGGCTAAGTCTTGAATTGTACATACACAGTGCTACTGTTCAAATATTTCAGGGCAGGAAGATCCTATACCCTCAATTACATGAGCAGAGAGAATCTGCTGAGAACAAAAATAATTAATCTATATAATTATGACAATTGGTCCAGTCCATAGCATTGAACAGTGCCTCACACTAATGGGATGCTAGACATAGTATTAATGTGACTCAGCTCAGTAAGCTAAATGAAGCTCAGGATATTTTTGGATTAAATATATACAGTTCTCAACTGAAATAACATAAATTTTATATAACCTTTTCTATATTCACCTCAGGAAGCATTCAGTAATTTTCTATGATAGCTCTAATATTTAACATATATAGCCCAGCATTACTTTCAAACTTGTGAGACACAGCAAGACCTCCAACCCGAAGGATCACTGTGGGTTAAAACCCTCCTGCTGACCTGCTCTGCTCCCAAGTAATTTAAGCCATAAATCTACCTCAGCTGCTTTGCAAAATGACCATCACTGTTGGACAGTTAAGGTCTTGGTCCTGTATCTGATCTACATGGAAGAATCTTGTGGCCATTCAGCGTTCTTCTGAAATCCTCAGGGACCACTATGGACCTAAAGGTGCATGGGAATGATTAATGCTCTGGCTTGCAGCCTGTGGCCGCTCCATTGACTTCTAAAAGGTCTATAAAAGGTAAGAAAAGCAACACCTGTCACCAAGGGACCTGCCTGCATTTTACAGGAGCCGGCATAACATGGAAACACTGCCAGGTACCACCATCGGAAAAGATGGAAAAGCTGCCTTGATGTATAAAGCAAACTAACCATTAAAAACATTTAATTCCTTTGCTTACCTTTAAAATCAAACTGGTAGATGTTTTTCAAAGATTCATGAAGAAAGTAAAAACTTCCTAGAGCCTGTAAAAAGAACCCAATAAAACATGGAATAGTAAAAATATGTACTTTGGCTAACAAAACCCAAAAGAGCATCAGGCTTTACAATCACAAAAAAAAAAAAGCAAACGCAAGAAAAGAAATGCTAATAAATAAACAGATGTTTACATTTTCTAAGATCTACAAAAACTTTAATTTCTTTTGTTGTTTCTCTGAGATTTCATCAGTCATTATAAAGATGACCTCTAGCAGCTGACCATGACAAGGGCACTGCCAGGTGTACCTTGAAGCACCAAACAGACGGGTGTGGTAGGTGACACAGACAGATGCCTTTCTGAGCCCCAAAACCAGACTCTCAATTCTGGTATAAAAACCTGACCATTTCTTCTTCACTTTCAAAGCAAAACCAAAGCTCTTAGAGCATGTGGTACAGGAACCAAGGGCAATTTTGGGTTTTCTAACTTACACCTAAAGCCTCTGCAGAAGAGGCTCCATGACCTCCCGACACAGCCTGAAGTGGATTTTCCCTACCCTGAAACTTAAATAGCTCCTCAACAGGGCCAGCCCCCTTTGCCTCCCTGCAGCAGGCCCCTCTCTCCGTGCCCCTCCAGGGCTGCCCACCCCTGGGGCTCACATCCCTCTCCTGGTGTCACGGGAGCTGTGACACTGTGACACACACAGGGACCATGAGCCTGCTGCCTGCTGGCCTTCTCCACAGACATGTCATTTACTGCTTTCCCCCACTTAATGAGAGGAAAATTACATATTAGAAGAGAGCAAATGAAAATCAAGTACGAAAGAAAAAAAACTGGGCAAATAGATTTTACGCTGGAATATTTTAAAAAAACAAAACAACAAAAAAATTAAAAGGACAACTTGATGAGCCTTTAGATACATCTGATGCACCCAAAAGAAACTGAAAAAACCCCAGCTTGTTACTGGATAAACTCTTACTAAGAAGAAGCAACAGATTAACCAAAAGGGATGATTTAGTTTCATTGCATCTTCTCCTCTCCAGCAACAAAGCCCCTCCCAGCACAGCAGGGCTTGGTTCGGTGGCTGCTGCATTATTTATGAGATGCTGCACATCCAGAGATTGGACATTTGCTGATTTGTCAAAAGCACAAACATGAGGTCCTGCCCATCTCCTTGACATATTAGTCCATCCAACAGAAAGCAGTGCCACATGTTTAATTGATGAGTACACGTCCCTGCGACCCAGGCAGATTCCTTCAGGCCTTTGGGTTTCTTTTTTATAACATGGAGGAGGAGAACAAGGAACTGCAGGAGACATCCCTGTGAAGGACTCAAGGTTAAGTGTGCTGCAACAAGGACACATTGCCAGGAGAAAATAAATCCTGGGACAAGACAAAACACTGCCACCTGATATTCCCATCTGGCCCATTTCTTTCTTCAATGCATAGGGCGAAATCTGACATATATATAAGTAACAGTTGCTATAGAATAATAATACTCTTTAAGAATTCTATATAAGGATAAAGCTTTTTTTCTTACATGGCCTTCAGAAGAAAAAGAAAGGAGCTTTGGCAAGCATCTGGAAAGTATCATCTCAAATGCATACTATCTGAAAAATGTAAAAGCAAATGAAAGAGGGATCCTGGAATGGGAAATGCTAGGCCATGCCAGTAACACATGGCCATGCAGCCTACCTGTAACATCTAAGTGATGTTTTTGATGAGCTCTTCCTTTTCCCCCACAATGCAGGACAGCAGAATCATGGTGTGAAGGGACCTCTGAGGTCCCCAGTGCAAGCCCTGTCCCAGCCCTGTCAGTGGGGCTGCTCAGGGCACTGTCCAGGAGACAGAACTCTCCTGAGGTGGGGAGTTCCTGCCTTCCCTTCTGGGCTACCACTCCTGTGTCTGACCACCCTCTTGGTAAACTTTTCCCTTCATTTCATTGGAATTCCCTATGCCTCAGCTGAGATGGAAATTTATGACTAAGTAAAAAAAAGTAATTGGAAATAGTGACTGATCCAATTCAGGTATGAATAATACTAAAAACAGGTGACTATTTAAATCTAGGTGACAGAATTGTGAACTCTGAAGCTTCCCTATGTAGCATAACAACAAGTAAACCAAGAAAAAAACAGATGCTCTAAACCCCGTTTCATTTAGGGTGTCATAACTCTATTAAAAACAGTACTGCCATTCATGCTTAAGCTATAACTTCATTTCTGAGTGTCACAATTTTTTATTGCTTGACTTCGTACAGTTTTAATTGCATTTTTAAAAACTAATTTTTAAGACTTATGCAGCAGAAGTTCAGTTTGATAGTCTACACTTGTGGCACTGAGTATCAACTACTCGTGCACAATGAATCTGTGACAGTGATGACGTAACTCTGCCAAGTTTCAGGAGCTGATACCACTAACATTCAGACTGGCTTGGACCCCACTAAAAACAATCAAAACTATAATGGAATGGAAATTACAGCTATCACTATCTTCCGCATTATTATAGACTTAATCAGGCTTAGGTACATAAATGTAAACTTGCAAAAATGATGGAGTGCACTTACAATTCTGTGCCCTAACACAATGAAATATATTTGAAAAACCTTCCAGAGCCTACTGCCTAGGCCCTTTTGTTGAGGCGATTATGTTAATTCAATTTATTTCTCATAAAATGTCACTTTAACAATAAAGTTAAATGAGATTAATTTGAAATTGAAGAGCTTTGCTTTATTTTCTTATTACAATTTCAGTATCCTTTGGAAAAAGCAGAACTGGTGCATATAGCAGCAGCAGCAGCACATAAAATATCTAAGTGATACAACACAGGAACACATTACAGATTATAAACCACCCAAACATCTTAACTTTTAAATATCTCAAACATAAGGAAAGAAAGCTATTACTTGTTCCATTGGAAAGGCTGCTGAGATGGATGACCTGCTGTTAGCAGGAATTCCACACTGCCTGTGAGCAGGCGCTTGCACTGAAATGAAGCTCAGCGGTCAGGCTGTGCCCTGTCCCTGCCTCAGCTACAGGGACATCAGGGGCTGCCCCACAGCAGACCCAGCAATACGCAGCCTCTCCCGAGCAGAAACCTGGGCCACAGCACCACGGCCTCTGAGGCTGATTTCCCAGGCGTCAGGGCCGGAGCAGCTCCTGCAGCCGTGCCCCTGCAGCGCTGCAGCACCCCTGAGCAGACCAGCCTGCAGGCTCTCATGCCCAGCACCCAGAGCAGGCAGTTTCTGAGGTCAGGGCTCACACACAGCCCAGCACCCGTCCCTGAACGAGCACTGCTGCCCCAAGGCTTGCCCAGGGCACGGCACACGCTCTGCTCACCAGATGTCTCACTGGAACGAACTGCGGGCAGCAGCCACAGGCTCCTCTGCTTGATTTTCCAAGCAGTCTGCAAACACAGACCAGTCGTGAATTCTACTGCAGCAGCCTTAGGGCAGAGCAATGAATGGCTGGCTCACAGTTAGGCTGGGATCAGAAAGTCCCCAGCTCATCAGGCCAGCCTGGCAGCCCCTGCGTCTGTAACCACATCAAGGTCATTGTACCCAGTACCAAGAGAAGCTTCTAGACCAGCCCAACCTGGTGGCCTCAGGGATACAGGGACAGCACATGCTATTCCCAGGACTGATCAGCCAGGTGAACTGGGCAGGAATTGTTCCCTGGCAGGGTGGGCAGGGCTGGCACAGGTGCCCAGAGCAGCTGGGGCTGCCCCTGGATCCCTGGCAGTGTCCCAGGCCAGGCTGGACACTGGGGCTGGAGCACCTGGGGCAGGGGAAGGTGTCCCTGCCATGGCAGGGCTGGAATGGGTGGGATTTGAGCTCCCTTCCCACCCAAAGCATGATTCTGTTAATCCTTGATTTACACCTTACTAATGAAGTCAGGAGCTGACAAGACAGAAAGGACTTCATCAGAGTCTGAGGGGCCCAGTTTTGCCCAGAAGTACACAGACACTTCAGAGCAATACCCATGGCCACAAGGAAATAGCACACATTCACTGCAAGTAACTCAGTGCTAAAACAGAAATTAATACAGCCATGAATACTCATTTGTAGCTTGGCCCAGTTCTTAAGAAACACACAAGACAGTAAAGCCAATTCCTCTGCTGTCCCCCTGTTCACTATAACCAACAGCTTGGCTTAAACACCTCGAAAATCAGTCAGAGCAGCACCCAAGATCCTGTAGGCACAGCAGGGAAAATTTCCTTTGTAAACTCCAGGCCCTCTTTTGATATCACAGTCACTAACTGCAGAGTACACAGGCAAACACATCCTGCCTTTTGTGAGAAGGGCCCTTATGGAAACGCTCAGGACTCAGGGAAAGGGCAGGCATTTTATCTCAGGCCATGCTGCTGTTAACAAAATGCTTTTTCCGGACTGACAGAAGTACCTGACCATTCCTACCACACCTGCGTGCACACCTGTGCTGCAGCTGGAGACACAGAGGGCACACTGAACCTAAGGGGAGCACATTCATTACAAGAGCTTCACACCTCCTCAGAAAAGTATTATGGAGAAAAAAGCAGGCATCTTCTCCCTGTTAGCCCAATGAAGTTGAACATTCACTGCATTTAATTAGGTTCCAGAATGATGCTTATTATGGTATTAGAGTTTTTTTTCATTAATCCATACAGAAAGACTCATCTGGGAAAACTAGTGCTGATGGCAAGAGAAACAATTGGTTCTGATGGATTACACATCCTCCATTATTAAAAGCACTATTCCTTTAACTATACAGGAATTTTGCCACAAAAATTTGAAGATTTTAATAGCTATAGGGTTTCTTTTAAACAGTTAATTGGCATAATTTCATTTTAAAGTCCACCATTTCAACTGTGGATATTTAATGCAAAAAGGAAATAGATGAATAAAAGTTTAATTACTGTACAGAGTAAACATTTACTGCATTGCCTCACTAAATGTGACAGTTAATATATAAAGATTGCTTTAAATATATTTAAAATAAATTGCCAATGATGACACAGAAACTGTAATTCATGTAGTCATAAAATCCATAATTAGCTTTAATGAATATTTAAAGT